CTCGGGCGGGAGCGCCGCCGCGCTTCCCAAGCAGCGCACTTATCCAGTGCGCCACCGGGCCAGCCCCATAGTTTAATGTTTTATTTCAATACCCCAACTGATGTTACGTATCCTACTTTGAGACCATAGCTATGGATATGGAGAGATCAGCAAAAAGAAAAATACAACTAAAATGTCCCTTGACCTAAAGGCTTCATTTCTTTGAATGTAGGTGACTATATTTGCTTTTTTTTTTCCTTTTTATTTTCTTATTTTTTTAAGAGCTGTGTTTCATATTGGTTAGGGCACTTTTCTCCATTTGAAACATAATCACAAACCTCATTTCCCACCATGTTGTACTGGTGTAGTTGATTTTTTAAAATACCTAAAAAAACAGGTTTTAACCTATAAGCCCAACTTTAATATTTTTAGGTTTTGCCTAGAGTATATTTGGTCTACTTAGTCTTTTGAATTCTGATTTGGTTACATGATATTAGTTAGCCTTCCACCTTAGGATATCTGAAAACTTGATATTCAAGTCATCAATAAAAATGTTGAATGTCATGTTACTAAAAATTTTCTCTTTAGACCGATCCATTTATCAATTTATATTTCAATTTACTGTAGATGAGAATTTAAGATATTAATGCTCATCCTGATAAAATCATTAAAGAAAACAAAAACTGATATTTTCTTAACATTTAAAATGTATATGTCGGGCCGGTCCGTGGCTCACTTGGGAGATTGCGGTGCTGATAACATCAAGGCCTGGGGTTCGGATCCCATATAGGGATGGCCGGTTCGCTCACTGGCTGAGCGTGGTGCTAACAACACCAAGTCAAGGGTTAAGATCCCATACTGGTCATCTTTTAAAAAAAAGAAAAAAAAATGTATATGTCTTAGTCCTAAAGTCAGTATCTTATTTAATAGAGGAACACTGGAGACATTTCCACTAAGATCAGGAACAAGACAAAAACACTTATTCTCTCTGCTACTATTCACACTGTATTAGATTATAAGCCAATACAATTAGACAAGAGAAACCAATAGAAGCATAAGAATGTGTGGGAAAATTAATAGCATCGTATCAATGCTAATTTCAATAATTGTACTATGGCTGTGTAAGATGTTAACATTATGGGAAGCTGGGTGAGGGGTATACAGCAAGGCTTCTCTCCCTTGATACTACTGGCCAGAAAAGTCTTTGTTGTGAGGGGCTATCCTGTGCATTGTGGGATTTTTAGCAGAATCCCTGACCTCTTCCCTCTAGATGCTAGAAGCAACCGGCTCACCACCAAACTGTGAAAACTAAAAATGTCTCCAGACACTGCCAAGTGTCCCAGAGGGGGCAAAATCATCTTCAGTTGAGAACCACTGGTACACAGGAATGCTACTATTTTTGCAACTTCTCTGAAAAACCTAAAATTATTTCAAAACAAAAAGTTTAAAAAGTACCAGTGCTCAAGTATAAGTGAAAACTGTGACTACCATTATGGTACTCTAAAGCATGATTCTACTTTTAATTCTTAAAAAATAATATTAAAAATTATCGCAAAGCATCATCTTGGAAGCTTTAACAAAATGTGTGGTATGTAAAGTTTCTGGAAACAGAAAAAAAAAAAAGGCCTTTCGATTTTAGGAAACTTTATTTTCCATAATCAATTCAAAAGAAATTTTCATGCTTATCTACCTCTTTGTGTTCATTGATGCCTTCATCATCCATTTATTAGTGAGAGGATCAAACATCTCCATGCTACCTAAATGTTCATTTCCATCATGTCCACCTACTGCATACACTTTACCTGTCAAGAGAAGTATTTTCATTTGATTCCAAACAATAGATAATATTAAATGTTACTTATATAAATGATATATAATGAAAATGTCATGATTAATTTTCAACAACTGCTGTTTTGTTCAACATTATGATCAATGTCATTTCAGTAGTCAAATGATATTTAGTATAATATTCCACTAATGGGCTGGTCTACATGAAGTTATTAATTGCTTAAAAACTATCCCCTTAGATTTCCCAACTTTTTTTACTTAGTAGTGAAATCACTAATCCTGCTTTCAAAGAACGTTTAATAAAAGGAAAAATACTCTTAATATGTTATATAAACAAAATTTAAATTTGTTCATACTATATGATCAAACTTTTTCTAAGTGAAACAAACGAAAACACAAGCAGGAAAATGGGAAAGATTACATACCAAAATGTTAACTGTAACTACTTCTGGGTGTTTGGGTTTAGATTACTTTTTTTATTAAAATATTTTTATATTTTCAAGAAAAGCATTTATACTTTAATAATCAGAAAAAAGGTCATTTTTAATTTTTTTTTCTTTTTACTTTTTATTTATTTATTTATTTTTATTTATTTATTTTTTTTAAAGATGACCGGTAAGGGGATCTCTTTTTACTTTTTCTTTTTATTTATTTATTTATTTATTTTTATTTTTATTTTTTTTTTAAAGATGACCGGTAAGGGGATCTTAATCCTTGACTTGGTGTTGTCAGCACCATGCTCACCCAGTGAGCTAACTTGGCCATCACAATATGGGATCCGAACCTGGGGCCTTGGTGTTATCACCACCACACTCTCCCGAGTGAGCCACGGGCCGGCCCAAAAGGTCATTTTTTAAAGTATTCTAACAATTTATCCATGGTTCTACAATTAATTCATATCAGTAATGAGTAAAAAAAAAAATCTAATTTCAGTAATAATAATTAGATTGGTATATTAGATGATATATATTTATAATTTGATGATATGTATTTATAATTTGGGTTCAATAAACATTTTTCCTTAGTTTGATTTTTTTGCAAATATAACTCAGAATAGTTTAGCTCTCCATTGCCCTCTTCCCTGCTATTCAACTCCATGTTATGCATCTATATGCAACAGATTGTATACAGAGCATCTGTGGGCAGGCATAAAGCAAGTAAATAATCACTACCCAAATATTTTACTGATATATTAAAAAAATATTTTACAATTTAGCAATTTTCTTATATAAAGGCAGAAATTCTCAAAGTTCAAATATTTTAAAAGAGCACTGTGATTATGTGATGTGAACACATCTTCCTGTGAACAATAGTGAACCTACCTTCCACAGAGATTACACCCACGTGTCGTCTCCGGCTATTCATTTCTGGTCCAAAGAACCAACTGTTTTTGTTGATAGAATAGCATTCTATACTGCGAAAGGGGTCACCAGATCCACCTCGACCACCTACACAAAACAGCACACCTAAAGGTACAACCACAAAATAGAGATCAAAATTACAGTTGCTAAATTTTTTTAAATTAGAGTGGAAAAATATTTAGGAAGTCAAAATTTTGAGTAATGGCAAAAAAGGATGAATTATTTGGATAGTATCCAATGTTGTTATGTTACTAGAAATCTAATCTAATTTCCCCCTCCTTATTTGAATTTTTCAAAGAATAAGGTACATTAGCTATCTCTGCTTGCTAGCATCTCATCACAACATGGCTTATACCCTCACCCACTCTGCAAAATTGTTCTTGCTAAGGTCATAACAAAACCAATCAACTCCTGAGTTAATTCCTTATTTAACACAATTGCAACATTTGATATGCTGATCACCCTGTTTTTAGGGAAACTCCTTACTTTCTTGATTTCTATAATATCAAAGTCTCCTTTTGTGTCCAATCATATCTTTCCTTCTTTTGATGTTTTCCATGTTCCATGCTTAGCCTACTTTTCACATACAGTAGTCCCCACTTATCCAGTTTCACTTTCTGTGGTTTCAGTTATCCACAGTAAACCACAGTCCAAAAATATTACAGTACATTGAGAGAGGGAGAGACCACATTCACAAAACTTTCATTATATTATTTAAATTGTTCTATTTTATTATTAGTTATTGTTAATCTCTTACTGTTCCTAATTTATAAACTGAACTTAATCATCTGTGTGTACAAAGATACCTTCAAAAAGTTCGTGGAAAGATACGGATTATCTTTTAATCCTATTTTTCCATGAACTTTTTGAAGTACCCTCGTATGTGTAGGAAAAAACATAGCATATACAGGGTTTGGTACTATCCACAGTTTCAGATACCTACTGGGGGTCTTGGAATGTATCACCTGTGGATAAGGGGAACTATGTACTTTACACTCACACAGGAGAAGTTCATACCTTTGTTTAACATTCCATCTGTATCATAATACGTTCCAATCTATATTTTTAAGACACATTTCCACTTAATGACCCACAGGTACCTCAACCCCATGTTCAGAAGGATCTCCCCTCCTTGCCTACCTAAACAACCTCTTCTTGCAGTGTCCTATCTTTCCCTCACTATTCCCATTACCACTGTCTTAATTCAGGTCCTCATCAGCTATTACCCACTACTGCAAGATCCTGTCCCTCTCTTATCACTCAGTAGTCTTTTTGCTTTTAGATTAACAGAGTAATCTAATTAAGATGTTTTTTCTACAGCTTTCCATTACCTACATTAGCAGTTCTCAAAAACATTAGCAAACGCTACTGTACACTTAAAATTTTTTAAAATGGAAAATTTTATGTTACATGTGTTTTACCACAATATGTAAAAATGAGCACTTTAGTGTGATTCAGAATCACCTGGAGGTGGGCTGGCTGGTTAGACCAGTTAGTTATAGTGCAGTGCTTTTTGTTTTTTGGGGGGGTTTTTTGGTAGCTGGCTGGTACAGAGATCTGAATTCCTGACCTTGGTGTTATAAGGCTGCTCTCCAAACAACTGAGCTAACCAGCCAGCCTGTAGAGCACAGTGTTATAACAGCAAGGTCAAGGGTTCAGATCCCTGTACAGGCCAGCCACCAAAAACAAAAACAAAAAAACCCCAGAATCACCTGGAGGGCATAATGCACAGATTGCTGGGCCTGAGTCCCAGAGTTTCTGATTCAGTAGTTTGGGGTAGGTACAAGAATCTATATTTCTAACAAGTTCCCAACTGAATGCTGATGCTGCTGGTGTGGGGGTGATCCCTTCCCTCACACCTTGAGAATCACTGACTTACGAGGTAAGGCCTTAGCACAGCATAAAGGCCTTCCAGGATCTAAACCAGTCTCTTCCTTCCTCTCTCTCTCAAATTTCAAAACTAAGGCTGAGGTTTACTTTCTCCAGAAAACCTTTTCTGACACTTCCAAGGTAAAAATAACCACTCCTTTTGTTTGTCACATTATACCTTGTGATTATAAAAAAGTACCTGTAATACTTTATTCAAATGTCTATTTCCCTAGACCAGACTGCAAGTTCTCCCAAAATAGGGCTGGCTATATTCTATTTGTGTTCGCATTTCTAATATCTAACTCAGAGCTTGCCACATGGTAGGCACTTAAAAAGTGTTTGCTGAATGAATGCATAAATGAATGACTGGAACTTCTTGTGCTCTTTTCCAACTAATTCAATATTTTAAGTCAGAGAAACTTAAAGTTGGAACTCAAAGATCATGTAGTCAAGTTGTTTATAAATAAACGGAGGCCTACAGAGATGAAGAAATTTGCCCCCAAATTTCCAGATGTTTAATGGCACAGCTGGAATTATAATCCCAGAATGTAATCCTAATCTTTGATTAGACTTTCTTTAAGTGGAAACTAGTATTTCAGCTATATAGGTCAACTGGAAACATGTCACGTAAGAAAAAAAACTAAAACTGAAGTAAAAAGGTCACGATACAAATCCTTTCTCTGTTATTTCTGTGTGGCCTTGAGCTTATTTTTAACTTCTCTAATTCTTAGTCTTCTCATCCATGAGATGGAAAAACACCATCTATTTCACAATAAGGGTCAAATCCTTCGATAAAATCTAATAAAATTCTTGTAATCATGTAAGAGATCATGTATATAAGAGTCTAGTATATTTTGGCATATTACCTAAGCTGCTAAGATGCTGTTTGAATTCAAATCTGAATTTGAATAGGAGTTTCATCAAATACCCTGACTTTCTGAAACAGTATTCACAATTGAAAAAAACTCTCCACGCCAGAAAGAAATTTAATTCTTTACATCACCCTATAAAAAAGAATAAGTAACAGTCCTTCTCATGTTAAGTAACTATTTAGAAAATGTACTTCTTCATAGGCAAGTGTATGACTTTCAGCCTTCCATTATGCTACTTAGATAAAAGCCCATTCTATTCATAATCAGGTATTGCCTTTTGTTGTTTTTAGGCTATTCCATAGACCTCATAATTTGATAACTCTATATCAGGCAGCAGCAAATGTGTAGGAAATTTCTATTCAAAGTTCCCCTTTCCGAATTTCTGGACCTCACTTATATTCTCTCATCCCCCAAATATGTTACTCTTTATAAATATTTCAAAAATTAAGTGAACATGAACTATTTTCTGAGAAAAATATAAAGTTTAAAAATTGTGGCAAATAAAGGTAAAACTGCATGCCTCCTAAAATATAAAAGCTTTAGATTCTAAGAGTTTAATATGGTCCATTATACAAATGTTAGATATGTTTAGTGCCTTTCTTCTGATTTGGTAAAATGTGAAAACAAATATTTAAACGTGTATTGTGTCACACTCTATGCTTGGCATTAGGGATACAAATCTAAATAAAATACTTACCTGTCTTTGAAGAGCTGAAGGCATGTGAAATAAATAAAGTGCTCTAAAAGTACAAATAAGACAGGAGCTAATTCTGCCTAGAAGTGTCAGGAAAGACCTCAGAAAAAGAGATATTTCAGTAAGCTCTTCAGAGTGTATAGGACTTGTTATGGCTTTTTAAAATATTGGCAAATCAGTAAAACTATTTAAATTATGTACAGAAAGAACTATGAATATGTATATATAAAACTTTATCTGTCAATTGTTACTTTAATGTGATCTGATACTAATTATCTTGTGTCCGGAGCCATAGAGCCCGGCTGTTGCCTAAGAGCCTGCCTGCCTGTCCGGAGCCAAAGAGCCCGCCCAGCTATTGCCTCGAGGCCTCAGAGCCTTGTTTGCTGTTATCTTCCGTCCCTCCCCCTGCTGTGCACTATGGGTGTAGGTAACTTTGCAACTTGCCATAGATAACAGAGAATTTTCCATTTACCGGAACAACCCGCCCTGCGGTTTTCTTAGTAAACCATCTGCTGCTTACTTCCTTATCTGCTGATTCCCTCCTGCTGTCTATATAAGCTGTGA